TTTTTCCCCCCCCCCCCCCCCCCCCCCTTCAAGAAAATGAACACATACGTCCAGAAACAAAGGCTACAAGTCAGTAGTGTTGCGAATGCGTGTGCTTGGATCTCAACAGCAGCTGCCAAGGTCGTAACCAAACACCAGCGACCTCTCCACGATGTGGATGCCATTTCCCAAGTGCAGGAGCAGCCCAGTACATGCACAAAATCTGCAGCGAACTCATGAAAACGTATTCTAAAGTAATAAAATATCGGCAATAAAATTACTCTGGAAAAGGCACCTTCTCCCCCCACCCACCCCCTGAAAGCCAAGGCCTCCTTATGTGCCTGGCCTGTACATTCGTATACTAGTATGATTTTTCGACACCCGTGCGGCATGACATGGCATGGCGTTCGGCTGGATAAAGGCGGTGAAAAAGTGAAAATTGCTATGCATACTGTACATACACACCACACGCACCCGATCCTCTCCCCGTCCAACCAATCCTCGTTCGCAGCGAGTGTCGCACGTCTTCGCGTCCCAACAAAGGACGAAGGCGCTCGCCTGCAACCCGCCGCTCCCCGGCGTACCCACCCCTCTACACCCCGCGAATCAACGTTTTACCGTAACCAGCACTGTGTCGAGAATGGTGCTAAAGGTAAGCCGTTACCAGCCATGACGGGAATGGTTTCAAGGTATGCCGTTACCAGCCGTCCCGCGAATGAAGTTGAGTTAAACCGCACCCCGCCGACCCCTGGCGTACCCGCCCCTACACCCCGCGAATGGTGTTCCGTGAAGCCGTTACCAACCGTCGCGCGACGCTACCAACGCTGCGCCAAGTTAGTGATGAATGCGATGAACACCCCCCCTCGAAGGTCCGAAGGGTTTCGACGACGATGCCGAAGATGAAGACGTAACGTCTTCCACGGTGCCGTCGGGCCGTTCGCGATGAGTGGTGCCGTTCGGTGACGTCACGTCTCGGTGCCCCTGTGATACAGAACATACACATTCGGGCGCCGGTGTGCACACATACACAGGGAAAAGCGCGTAATGGTAAGACGCGAGCTAGGAAACGAATGACACACATCAAGAGACGCGGTATGCATATGACATCATTCATTTGGTTCCCCCGTCCCCGTCTCCTACCGCCGCTCGCAGTCTGACCGGTCTCGCGTCTCCAACTCAAGACCTCCGATCCGGGGGTTACAAAGACAAGAGTATTCCTCTGCCGCGCTTGCCTTGAATTTTTTTATCGCGTGGTTTTAAATGCTTCAGGGTAGAAGCACATGCATGAAATGAACTACAAAGGCAACAACGATTCTTCTCCGGGACTGGAAGGAAAATCTGGGCACTTGTCGTTTTCTGCCGGGACCCTGCACCATGCACGGTACACCGTTCGTCAATACGGACAAGGGGAGGTACTGGGAAGACAGAGACGCAGGGTTGGTGGTAGCAGCGCAATAGGAATAACAACACGATGCTGATGGTGATACGTGCCAATCATCAAGAGCATCGTTCACGTTCTCAAGACCTTCATATCGAACAAAAAAGAGGCAAGACGATCAATTTCGCTAAACCTTAGCTTTGTGGAGACAGGCAACAACAACAGCAACACCAACACACCAACACTACCAACGACAACAAAGATCGGATTACCTCGGGGTACTCTACGACGGTAACCCCGTCGGGAAACTCGCTCATCTCGCGTCCGGAAGGCAGTATGTACTTGCGAGTGCCGTCCGGAAAGTCAATCTCCTTCTCCCCCGTCTTGTGATGACGCTCCACCTGGACACCCATTTGCACACACAAGGACGACCAAGCAATCAGAAACCACAAATCATGCTTGCACAGGTTTCGATTAAATTGTTCTCCATGCCTGAAACGAGGCCTTCGTACGACTCCGTCGCCTTAAATGGTCTGTTCACGCGAGATCCCGGTCACCACAAAACACTTTGCGGGGACGATCTAGGTCCACACACAAAGAGCCATCCTCTCTCCAATTTTGATATAGGCTCATTTACAAGCTCCTGGCATGAGCTTTGAGATGAGAAAATGGCTTCCGCAAGACTCGCTTGAGATGTACTAGGTAGATTATTTGCCAAGTCTTGCCCAGAAGAACCTCGGGACAAAAAGGCTCGCGTCATGCCTTGAAAACGTCCTTGTGTTGACGCTAAGCTAACATCATAGCCTCGCGCTGTTCAGCCACGAACGACTGATGTTCTACGCTTCTAGGTACACCGCTCTTGCTCCAGGCCAGTCTCCGTTGTGGTATGCACATCGTCTGCTGTTATCACTCTTTTCGAAATGACAAGAACCAATTTCGGACACTAATGTGAATATCCCAACGGTCCCAAAACTCCCGAACTGGGTGGAATGATAGTTGCCCACTGGCAACGTACCAGGTGGTATGCAAGAAAACACCGCAGAAGAAGAAAAAACGAAAACATTAACAACTCCATGCAGGCAGCGCTCGAACGGCATGGCCACATTCGGAAACGTCTCATACTGTACTGTATCCATCACCGACGAGGACGTCTAGCGCGATGCCGGGCAGAGAGAGAGACGAGGGTCAAGCGGTGAGTGAGGTCAAGCTCAAGCTTTCGCGTCGTCAAGACACGCACGCACACGCACCTGCCCGTTAGGAAACTCGAACACCTCTAGCCCCGATGGGTGCATCGTGTGAGTCGTACGGGCCGCGGCGTAGGTGTAGATGACGACCCCAGTCTCCCCTCCGACACGTTTAAGATCACCGTTCACGAACCGCACTACGCAACCGCCATCGGGCAGCGTCTCCTGCAGGGGGGCGTCGTGAGCGTGGGGGGGGGGGGGTCTGTGGTCTTGCCGGGGCCCCGAGGGGAACTTGACGCGTCGCCTAGACAACCTTCTGGAGTGGAAAACAAGTTACCGTCACATGCTGCACTTCTTGCACTCTTAAAGCGAAGCCACAAAAAAAAAGAAAGGATTTCGTCAACATTTTTTTTTTGGTTAATTTGCTCCAACGTTTTGGCAGGGGCAGGGATTCCACGATCATAGCTTGGTTTAGAACGTTAACGTTAACACCTCCCAGCCTCGAGACCAGCGAACCCTCTCACATGGTTGTTCGGTTGTTCGATAGGAGGTTCTTTTTTCTCTGACATGAATCAAACAAGATGACTTCCAGAGGAGCGTGGCTTGAAGCTATGGTGCTCTCTCTCTGCAACCACAGCCGCTACCGCAATCAACGCCAGAGAATCAGCGGCACGCTCGCGTCGCATCAAAAATCATGTCCTTCGGGGCCAACTTCCTGAAACCGAAACTCGTGCCTCACCTTCTGCGTCCCATTCGCGAACAAGATGACCCGCCTGCCGTCCCTCAGAACGTGTTCCACCTTTCCCCCGCTCCCGCTCCCACTCCCGCCGCTTCCCGTCGGCAAGGACCTCGCTGCCCCCGACGACCCGGCAAAGCCAGCCGTGGCCGCCTCCCCCGCCGCCGCCGGCTGAACGTTTGCACCCGGAGCCCCCGCGCTCCCGTGCCCACGCGCCTCCTCTTCCCGCTCCGTCACGGGACCCCTGCCGCCCTCGTGCGCGTGTCCAGCTATCCGCGTCGCCCCCGCCGGCGCGTCGTGCTCGCCTCGCTCCAGCGATCCGTTAACGCCGCCGCCGCCGCCGCCGCCGCCGCCGGCAATGGCGGAGTCACCCTCTTCGCCCCGCGTGCCATTCACCTCCCTGCGCTCATGCGGGTCTAACCTGCTGCCGCCGTCGCCACCTGCATTGTCGTTCCTCCCGCGAGCATCTCCCATGGCAGCAGCAGCACTGTCCTGGTCATCTCGGGGATTTTCTCTAAACTGCCGCGGGTGGTAGTGGTGGTCTCCGGCGGAGGACCCTGTCCTCATGCCACCACCGCCACCAGCATCGGAGCGACGCAACACGGACGTCCGGTCCAGCGCCGCCATCGACGGTCTACCGTCGCCGCTGCTGCTGCTCCGCACGCCCCCCTCGTGAGGGTACACCCTGGGATCGCTCCCCGGAGCCATCTCATACCTCATGGGGTCGTACTTGAAACCGTCCGACGACGACACCCGCGCCGTGCTACGTCGAACTCCCCCCCAGGACGACCCCAGCTCGTCGCCGTCGTTAGCGCGTTCGATGCCGTTAACCTCGCCGCCCCCCGGGCCGGCTTTGTCTCCGACTAGAACCTCGCCGTCCCGCTGGTGACCCTCCACACCTCCTCCGCGGGAAGAGATGCGGGCATCAGCGTGCTCCCACTCCTGCCTTTGGCCGGGCTGCTGGTCATGAAAGCGCGCGACTTGGACATCGTCCGAGGGGGGACGGGCAGCGCCGCCGTGCACACGAGAAGTCGCCCAGCGCCCGGCGCCGGCGTTTCTGTGGTCCAGTCGCGTGTCGTCGCCGTCCGCTCGCCATGGTACGCCGCCTCTGCTTGTTCGACCATTGACATGCCGTCCTCCGCCCTCCTCCTCCTCCTCCTCCCAGCGGGTACCGCTCCCACCGTTGCCACCACCTGCCTGACGAGACCACCGGTGCTGCTCCCCCCGATCATCCTCCTCCTGGTACTGGTATAGCCCCGACCGAGCACCGTTCCGGACCGAGGGCTCGTAGTAGTGCCTACCACCGTCCTGCCTTCGCTCCCTCGCCACCATCACCGCTCCCTCACCGAAACCCCTCGTCTCCTCCTCCTCCTCCCGCACGTGCACATCTTCCCCCCTCTCCCACGCGGCACCGCCACCGTCTTGCCCCCTAGCTGCGGTTGCCTCCTCATGCTTGCGAGGCTCCTGGTCGTGACCTCGTTCCGCCGGCCGCCGTGACCCCGCCCCCCTCGCCGGCTCGGCCTCCGCCGAGAGGGTAACGGTAGCGACTCTCGACCTTGCGCCACCGGCCCTAGCCTTCGCCGAACCGTTCGACGATTTTCGGACGCCGTCGTTCATGCTGCGAGACACGGCCGGTGTGACAACGCTTGCCCTGGAAGGACGGCCGCCGGTACCGCCGAGGGTACCGCTACCGCCCCCCGTAGCGCTAGCCCAGACATCCACTCTCTGCCGCTCTAGGAAGGAGACCTGGCCTTCCAGCTCGGCGACGCGCTCGGCTCCGCCCTTGATCTGCTGCTGGAGTCTGAAGGGAGGGGGCGCGGGGCGGCGATGCCGTTTAGGAATCATCGACCCGGGAGGGGAAATCGCCATGTGCGTACAGTGTACATGCTAGCAGAGTTGTCTATCCCCGCTGGGCATGGATGGGGTTTGCACAACCTGTGGAAGCTTTGTCACTGCGGGTCTTGCTATAACTCACTTGCACGTGAAATTTTGCTGCACGGAACGTTCGTAGCACCGGACAGCCAACTACAGCCGTTGTTTTGCCACCGCAAGTGTTCCCAGTTCAGCAATAGTCCCCAGTCACTCAAAGAACCGACCGGCTGCAAGTAAATAGGGCGTCCACGTAGCATACGAAAAACCAAAATTTCATCGCCCGCCTCACCTCCGCTCAGAAGCCCTAGACTTCTTCTTTGCCGCCTCTGTGTCTAGCTTGGCGCGTTCGATTGTCGCCTTGAGCCCTTCGATCTCTTGGCGCTGCCGTCTCTCCACGGCCGTGCCGCCGCCCAAGCCACCTCCGGCCTGCGCCCTAGCCCTGAGGCCTTGAATCTGTTCAGCAGCACCGGTAGGACGATACTATTAGCGCTTGACTAAGAGCAAAGTCAGGTTTTGGCAACCTGTTTTCCGCTACAATGATGCGCGAGCACAAGCGGTGTTGTCGCGAGCGCCATGGAATCAACAAACAATCACATACTTCAGAATCTCAAACGGTCTGCACGTGGGGGTTCGAGGCTTGAATCACCGTACCCTTCCCCTTGGACTCGGACTTGCGGGGACTATTGAACGCTTGTACAATGCCTGTGCAGAAAGCCACGCCAGTGGTATGCCGAGAGAGTGTCAACCTAACCACCCCGACCAACCCAGTGCCATGCCGTAGGGCCACAATAGCTTCGTATGCCCTTGATTATTACCACCGTCCAATCAAACGGCGCGTCAAAACGACGAAACCGCCATCGCTCCCTCTACAGCACGTGCCGCGGGAAAAGCAGCACAACACGCTGCTGTCGTCGAGAGGTAAAGTGCAACTGGGAGCAGCCACCTGTTTGAGCGCCGCGCGTTTCTCCCTCGCAGACGCCTGCCTCTGTTCCGTGCACCAGGCTTCCACCGCTGCCCTCTCCGCCTCCGCCCATTCCCGCACCTACAAACAAGAGGCGAGAGAGGGAACCAGCATCATACAGGTACCTCCGAAGCTACAACGGTTAACAAGATCGGTCAACCCACCGGCTAGTCTACAAGGCGATTCTACAAGGCGACTAATCGAACAAGAGCACGATAATCTTTTCGTACGAGAAAATTCCTGCACAAGTCTTCCGAACGAAAGTCGTACTCTCAGCTGATCGTAGGACAAAGCCTACTCTCATGCTACCCCGTTCCTCGCTGGTATCTACTATAGACCGCCTAGAACAGCAGAAACTCAACGATGGTCTATTTAGTCCTCGAGCCTTCTTACGTCGTCCTGTCCTCTGTGTAGCCTCCTCTCACCTCCTGGCGCTTCCGCATCACCTCGGCGAGAGCGGTTTCCTGCTTCCTCCGTGCCAAACGTGCGCGTTCGTTCTCCTCCTTGTAACGTGCCACCTGGAGACAGGCATGACACGACACGGCGTGTGGTCCAACAGCTCAATCATCGTTGCGGCGGTCGAATAGATCAACCACTCCGATCAGAACCAGAGTACACCCGGTCATTGCATAGACAACGACGAAGCAATCCGATTAGAATCAGAATACACCCCTACGGTCCGCTTTGGACGGAACATTATTTTAGACGCTAGTGCGACTCGCCCAACACATTGAGACGTGACAAGACCTTGGTTTCCCCCCACCATGTCACGAAAAAAAACTACTAATGTTCACCTCTTCTTCTAGCTCCCGGAGCTTCCCCTGCACCTCCGCCTGCATCGCCCAGCTGCTGCCTCCTCCTCCCGTCCCCTGCTCCCCTCCCTGACCCTCAACTACACTACCCCCACGCCCGGCCCTGCCCCCGCCACGCCCGGCCGCCTGGTGTCTCCCCCCCCTCCCCCCCCTGCCTCTTGCAGCGCCCCCCCGCCTTCCACGCGCCCCGAACACCCTTTGCACCAGCTTGGACTGCGAGGGGGCTCCGTGGTCTGCCGCCGCCGGGGCGGGTGTCAGCGCGGCCGATTCCTCGCGCGGGGGGGCTTGCCTGGACAACGGCGCGCCGAAAGCACTATCACCACCGTCGACTCCTTCGACAGGAAACCCTCGCCGGCGGCCGACGGTTCCGGCCCGTCTTTGCGGGTCCCCGGGGGCTGTCCCTCGTTCAGCCACACCGGCAACGCTGCTGTCCACTTCCCCCCAGGCATGATCGTCGTCGAAGCCGTCGCCGTGGTGCTGCTTGTCGTCTCCTCGCCCTGCGGTGCTCCTACTGCCGCCGCTCTTGTTCGACGGTTCAGCCGCGGGGTCTGCTGTCGGTACGCCAGGAGGGGGCGGTGGCGGCGGCGGCGGCGTGTGGGTGAGGTTCCGGGTGTGCTGTGGAAGGCGTCGGACCGGAGACGTCGACGCATCATCATAGTCACCCCGGTTTGCTGTCTGTCGGCCTCGCGCCGCGAGCGTTTCGTCGCGGACTGACTGCTGCTGCTGCTGCTGCCCGTATCGCGATGGGTCTCGGGTGTCGTCGGCCCTCTGGCGGATCGCCGTTTGTCCCCACCGATCTCGTTCTTGGCTGGGCCAATCATCGTCCTTGCCACCCGACGCCCCTGCTGCTTCCCAGCGATGGACGTCTTTCCCCCTCTCTCCACCGCCGTACCCTCTGCTCAGATCAGCGTCCCGCGCCGCCCTTGCAACCTCCTCCTCCTCCTCCTCCTCCTCGTCTTTTCCCCAGGTGCGTGTTTCTTCCGCATCGCTGTGAACCACGTTCCCAGTGGCTGCGGCGGCGGTTACCTGCACCCCGCCGCCTCGGGCACTTGGACGAGGCCCACGTGTGGAAGAGGAGGAGGACCTACTGCCTTCCGCCCTCGCATCTCCGGAGAAGGCCTGGTAGCGATCAGCAGCGGCAAGGCGTACGCTATCGCTTCTCGCCGCTGCCGCCTGGTGTCTCCATCCAGAATGCCTGCTACGGTGTTGTAGAAAACGAGATCATGAGGGTTCAGGAACTGAAGCGTGGCGATGTCGCATGGATAGAGGCATTGGTTGGGGCGAGGCCATAGTTTTGTGTTGGTTTTGCTGTTGCCACATACTTGTAGGATGCGACACCAGCTGAATGAGATCATGAATCGGTAGCAAGCAAGATAGGTTTAGGCAGGCTTGGTTTCAACGCCTTCTCAAACCTCAGTACAATACGCGCGCGAACGCTTTGGGACCGCCAGCAATCAACATTGCAGGAAAAGGGACAATACAGTAGTTTAGTGCTCCGCCGTCAAGCAGACAAGGATAGATCAAAGCACGGAATTAATCGGCGGCAGCAGCCAACCGTCTCGGGTTTGCTACACCCAAGGCAAAAGTCCGAGCTTTACAAACATGGCGAAACCAATATGGCACGGCACGTGAGTGCCAAGGAAAGCAGAGGCGTCCACCGCTGTGGTGACTAGAAGACAACGAAAGTCTACCGGAACGGTGAAAATGTGTGCATATTTCGATAGGTGCACCACCCACCCCGTGTTCGAAGTCGCGGCCGATTCAAGCCCTCGTCCTTCCCGCAGGGCACCGCCGTCCTCATCGCCAGCAGCCTTGAACGCGGAGCTCTCACGCTCGCCGTTCCAGAAATCGGTATGGTGCTGCTGCTGCTCATGCTCTCTGCCAGCAGCACTACCCCCTTGCTGGTCCAGGCCGCCCCCTCCTCCTCTCTCCTCTTCCTCCTCCTCCTCCTGCAGCAGCTCCATCTCCAGCTCGTAGAACTCTCGCCGCTCTCGCTCCTCCAAGCACTCGTCTTGCTCCTGCTCGTCCGCGGGTTTGACGCCCATAGAGAGATGCCGCAACTGTTCGGGGTCGCCGCCTGACCAACTCGTGGAGAACGAGGCCCCGCTTCTCAAGGAGACCCGGAGCCCACCGCCGCCGCCACCGCCACCACCACCGCCACCGCCACGACCATCCCAAGCGAGATTCGACGCCACAGACGACCGCATGCTGCCGCTGTTGTTGGCGTCCCCCCCGTGAGATTCCCCAGCGGCTACTGTCGGCGGTCCTCCTAGCATCATCTCACGTAACTTCGGTTGCCGGCTGCCGCTGCTGCTGCCGCCGCCAGTTGCGTATGTCTCACTGCTGGCGGCATTGTCCTCCCCGTTTTCAGGCCTAGCCAACTCTGGGCGGGCGGCGATGATAGCAGGGTCCGGCGGAGTGTTGGGTCTACTGCTGTAGCCGCCACCGGCGCTAACGGCGGCAGCAGCAGCAGCAGCGGAAGAAGCGGCGGACGTTCGGGGCGGCTTCGCCAGCGCGTTCTTTGCCTGCGCCTCTTGCATCTGCCGCTCCCCCTGCGCGATCAGCTCGTCGAGAGACATCTCTTTGGCTCCCGCAAGGCCTCGGATGGGCTGGTCTTCGAACGACCGCGACGCCGACGGCGGCGGGGACGGTGCCGCTGCCGCTGCCGCTGCTTCTGCGGCCACCGGGGAAGGTGCCCCGTGCTGCACCACAGCATCGCCGTCGCTGCTGACGCTATCGTCCACGGAACGGTTCCGAACCCACGACCTGTCGACGTCGTCGTCGTCGTCGTCCTCGAAGTTGTCGCTTCCGTAGCCAACATCGAGCCTCTCAGGGGATGCAGCTCGGATGTGTGTTGGACCAGCGGCAGGGTGTGCTTGCTGCCGGTCGTGTTGTGCCTCGCTCTCGCCGACATGCGCGGGGGGTCCAGCCCACCTCCACTGCGGGTCTCCCCTAGGATCACCGACGCCTCCACCCTCGTGGTCGTCGACAACCTTGGTGCGGCTGCTGCTGCTGTACTGCTGCTCCTCGTGCTGCCGTCCGTATCGGTCAGGGGCTGCCATGTTCGCGTCGTGAGGACTCACAAAAATGCTGTGGGAAGAGAGGAGGCCATCAAAAGGACTTGGCTCCAACGCAGCAGTCACGCCGATCATTTGCTCTCCCTGAAGCTTCGGTCTACACTGTAGGCAACCTAGCCAATACGTGCGTGTTGCCGCGAGCGCGGTAGCACTCAGTCTCTCCCCGCCGCCCGCGCTGTGTATCCGCTACCGTTTTCATAAGGGGCTCCGTGGTATCGTGGAGCAATTCAAAATCATGGATCTTCCTGTCATGGGGGCGCCGTGAAATAATAACCCGCCGCCGGCCTGCTGCCTCGGGACAGGGCCCATAGGTAGGGCCAGAAAAATGAAAAACGACGCAATCTCATTGGTCAATCAACACATCCCAACATGAAAAACGACCCCGAGACATGAAAAACGACGGCGGCTGATTGGGCCAAAGCACCCGAATTGGGCCGCTGCTGCCGAGACACATGATGACACCCAACACAGACCACAACGGAAAGCACAACAGCCCTCCCACCCAGCAACCGCGGAGCCAGCGCTCCCCATGGGGCGAAATCAAGGGCCAAAGCCCAAGGATGGCGCACAAAAAGCGGGTCGGAAAACGAATGCGGAGAGGGAAAAGATAGCTGCGCAGCAGAGGAATCAGGCGGACGGGTTGGCAAGGATGCTTTCCCGGAACCCGCAAGCCCAGCCATCATCAAAGCGGCCACGGGTGAGTGAAGACCAGAGTGGGGAGGGTATTCGATATACTCGTAGCATAGCATGGGGGTGGTATATTGCGTATAAATATGCGGGGATTGCAGTGACGAACTACGGAGGAACAAGAAGTTTCTTTGTGTTTTCCTTGGGAGTGTAGTAGATTGGTGGAGATTCATGGAGATTCGTTCTAGGTATTAAAGCGTTATGCGTGACTTGATGCCGTGATGGAATGACGAGCTCAAGCACGCCCCCGATGAATACAACACGTTTTTCACCACGTCTACACGTCTTTACCTACCCGTGCGGCCCGTCATGGCCGAGCTGCTCTACGCTCCCATCACACACAACTGAGCCACCCGAATTATCGATCACGCTAGCGGTATGACACGTCGTCTACGAGATTCGCGGTCGAGCTTGGTTTAGGAGCATCGCTTTGCGGCGATCAAGAGCAGGGTCACGATGGCCACCAGGCGCGAAGATGAATCCCGCCCAGCAGCGGAAGCCCGCCAAGCAGCGGAGGACGCCAGGATCGAAGAACTGGTCAATCAACGAGAGAGTAGCAGCTCGGATGGAGCAGCTGATGGAGGAGAAACTGGCCAAGAAGATGGCCGAGATGGAGGTACGGCATCGAGCCGAGCGGCAGAGATCAGAAGATCTCCGGCGAGGAAATGAAGAACAAGAGGCACCACACCAGCAAGAACCTGGGGGCCCAACACCCAACCCTTCCGCAGACGATCTGGCCGACGCGATTGCGACTGCCATGGCCGGTCGCCTCCAGACTTCATCAGGGGATATCGGTGCAGTGCCTCACCCTGCAACTCTCCGTATGACTGAAAGTAGACGAATTGAGCTTTGAGAATTTTCTGCCCGCCCAGCAGCGGAAGCCCGCCAAGTAGCGG